TGCATTTATATAGTAACTGCTCCCTAATTTCCTAACCAGTGGGCACACATTTGATCACTTTTTGCAAAATGTTTCAATATGTAAACCCTAAAACTGAACTTCTCTTACTTGATCCCTTTATACTATTGAAAACGATTTTGTTATATCCATTTAACAAGTACAAATAATAACTGTTGATCCTGCCAGAAATCTAGTGAGCTCAGGGGTGGAACTACCGCTATAGCGACCCATGCGGACGCTATGGGGCCCGCAACAGAGGGGGGCCCGGTCAGGAGCAGAGCTTACAATCCTCCCGGCCGGGTCCCGACATAGGCGCGCACACAGGGAACTGGAACGGCCGGTGCAACGATCAATCCCCTCAACCGCGTCTGGATTGTAAGCGGAGACAGCGAATGGGTTGGGTCAAACTCCTGCTGTCTTGACTGGATTGGTACGTGATAGGAGTGGGCGTGGTTTGGAGGGAAGAATGTGGCGTGGCTGTGGAGGGGCCGACATCAGGGACATCGAGGAGCCTCTGGAGGAGACAGTAGGCAGGGAGACATCTGCAGGTCAGCTGGTCCTGGGGAAGTTGAGGCATTGTGCTGGGCCTGTTGCTGTATGGTGTTGTGACAAGACTTCCCAGGTGTCATAGCCGTATGCTACATGCTGGGTCATTCATTGCTGTGCCTGTCATTGTCCAGCAGTACTGTCCCTGCTCTCTGTCCCTGAGGGCTTGCTCACACCAATTACAGTGCGTTCCAGAGCGGTAGCTGCTGGAATGCACCTTATCACACACTAAACTCCCCCCTGTGTTCCGGTCCAGTGTGATCACCAAAAAATAGTGCATGTAGCATTTTCTACGATCACACTGGACCAGAAAACAGGGGGGCATGGCTACGGTGCCCTTGTCTTCAATGCACCGCTACACCCCCTCCTGCCCCAGAGTGCCCCAAAATGCAGTGCATTCCAGCTACCACCCTGGAACGCACTGTAATCGGTGTGAATAAGCCCTAAAACCCTTTTACACCATAACATACATTGCTGTAATTGTCATCTTTTTACACTTTGGCTCCTCTGACTGTTGTAATCTTAAAAGGTCACTTACACCCTTGCCCGGAATGCAAGTGATCGCATACACAAAGTCTCCTTGCGTTCTGGGGTGGGTGGGGGCGTGGCAGTGCTATTCATATAATTGAATTCACCAGAATGCATGGTAATACAATACCCTGCGTTCATGTGTGGCGCAATCACAAAACATTGTTCATGCGCTATTTTTTGCGGGCAGGGTGTGTCTGGAATTCAATTGACATGAATGACACTGCCACGCCTCCTTCCACCCCAGAACGCAAGGAGACTTTGTGTACGTGATCCCTTGAGTCAATGGCATTATTATTTATTTATTTATTGGTGTGGGGTATTTTTGCTATGGGGCCCTACGATTTCTAGTTACGTCCCTGAGTGAGCTGACAACTTCCTGTGCTTTCTACCTCTGCTGACTTATCAGTTAGCATCATTCACAGTTATTAGGGATGAGCTCAGGTTTGGACCGAGCCCAGTCCAAAACTGAGCTCCTCCCAAACGCAGAGGGAGCTCCCCCAAACATGGAGGGAGCTCCTCTCAAAAACGGAGGGAAATCCTCCGGAAACTGGAAAGGAGCTCCTCCTGAACGTGGAAGGAAGTCTTTTCTATGCCTCCCTAACAGCTGCAGGAAGGGAATCCATGTGGGGACATAAGCAGTGTCAGGATGCGGTGGCATCATTGACCTTGTATGGCTACATGCCTATATTTGCTAAATTACATTTACCTTATATGGCTATGTGGCCATATAAGGCAAGTGCGGTCAGCACAAACATCCCACCCCTTTGTTTACATGTAGCCCTGGGCAGGCCCGGATTCCCCACAAGGCCACCAAGGCCCAGAGGGGCAGGGCACAGAGGGGCTGCAGCGGTGTCCTTGTGAGGAAGTTGCGGGCGCCGGGCGGTAAGTTGCCCTCGCTGGCTCCGTCCTCCGCCGCCGAGTCTCTCCTCACTGCAGGGAGACAGTGAGCTGTAGACAGCTGCAATATATCTTCACCCCCCCACCCCCCCCATCCTTTGCTGCATCCAAGTGCTGCTGATCGCTGTCTGTTTGCAGCCGCTTCATATCTACATGCAATGCATTTTTCAGGGAAGGTTTCCCAAACAGTATAAAATGCCTTCATAATGTGTGTCAAAGTGGCCAATTGTAGTCTCCATCAGAAGCCCGTGTGACAACGCAGGATGACAATTGGGACAGAGCGTTGTCACCTTATAATAGGAAGTGCCTGAACTTGGCAGAAATTCCAGGCATTCATGCAAGAAAAGCTGAAAATTTTAAAATATCGAACATTTGCTTTTGAACTTATATTAAAGCAGAACTCTGGGTAAAAAATGTCATTAATCCTTGCACTCCAAGGCTAAGGTTCTCGTTCTTGCCTAGGGTCGAAAAGTTATATTCAACTGAACCTTGGAGCCGTCTTGCGGACCGGTCCATGGAGTGTCTCTTGCACCTCACTGCAGTGGTCTGAGGTTCTGTGAGTCATCGTGTTCTATACACTGTATAGGACGTGAGGACTCCAAGGGACATACCCTCGCTGGAGCAGAGGAAGGGACAGGCAGGAAGGACCGGTCTAACAGCTAGTCAGCTCAGAGGTTCAGGTGAGTATAACTTTGTTATTTTTGACCCTAGGCATAAAACAAGCACTTAACCATGGGCGTGCAGTCAGGGGAGGCAGGTGAAGCTCCTCACCTAGTATTATGGAGGAAAAAGCTGTCATGTTCAAGTCTGAAGCTGACAGCTTTTTCTCAATTCAGACCGGCTTGTAACAGGTTACACAGCAGGGAAAGCCTCCCCGCTGTGTAACCTGTCATGGATGGAGCGCTCCCTGTTAATTACAGGTGGAGCTGCATTTGGCTTTGGATAGCTAAGTTAGGTTACACCGCAGTGGGGTTCCCCATTGCTTGTGTATCCTAACGTAGTGAGGCAAGAGCTGCAACAGCCTCTACTCTATGTAAGAGGCTTGAGCTCTGTGGATGGTTTGGGCCAATGGCAAAGCGCCATTGGTCCAAGCTGCCCAATCAAAAAAAAGAAAAAAAAACCACTGAGGACATCGATCTCGATGCCTCACCAGTGACGTGCAAGTGAGGGACAGGGAGGCTCCTCCCTGTCTCCTCCCTTCTTCCCTCCTCCGCATTTAACTTGGGCTTCCACGTGCTGGGGGCAGGATGCCAGTGGGCTGGGGGCAGGATGGGGCCTGCTGGGGGCGGGGTTGGGGAATGCCTCACCCAGCACTGAAGGAACCGCACATCACTGCGCTTAACCCTTGCAGTGCAGGCGTAGCCCCACTACAAGGCTTAATAACCTTTTTACCGGGAATTGTTAAACCTTCAATTTTAGTGATTGGTTTTACATCTAGTTTATTGATGTTTGACGTGGAGTCGGCTAGTCCTATACATGGCTTGAACTGTAGAAGACACCACAAGATGGATTATACACCAGACATGTTTGTAATAACTTTATTTTCATCTTAAAAAAATAGATATTCAAGCGTGCAGATAAAAGAAAGCTAATGGTCGGCCTATTGGTCTCTGTACATTTATGAAGGGCGTATACACACAGGTTTAAAAGAGTGCAAATAAATGCCGTTACCTACATGAAGCGGACTGGAGCTTTTCTTTTCCTAGTGGATAAAACTGATTTTTTTGCTATGGCCTACACCATATCTCCATTATATATGCACGTCAGTGATTATTTTGGTAGGGTACTACCAAAATAATCGCTGACTTTTATAGGTTGAACTTGATGGACTTGTGTCTCTTTTTCTACCTGACTAACTATGTAACTCTAGAGCAGAATGCCCGGTAATAACTATGGGCCGCATACAGGGCCGGATTTACTCTCTCTGCTGCCTCAAGGCCAGGTTCCTCAATGTGCCCGCCTGTATGCATACAAGTGATCTTGGCGACATCGCCGAGATCACTTGTACATAACAAGTGACGGCTTTCCTGCTGTACATTAAGCCCTGCTTGCCCAAAGCAGGGCTAAATGAAGAAAACAACTACCCGCCCGGCATCCAGGACTGCATGAACCGGGCGTCGGGAGATAGGAATTCTACACCCCTGCTGCCCCAAGGCCGGGCCTCGGTTGGTCTTGTGGGAATACAACAAAGTGTCCGAAAGAAGGAATTTGATAATAATCAGAAAACTGCTAAAATCTGATTTTGTTAGGCACTACACCCATCTCCATTGACAAAATACCCCAACTAGATGGTCATGTTTTGACTGATAAGGTGTTGCATAACCAGGGGCATAGAATGGTAGGCAACCTCAGCTGTGGAGCTGCAAGTCCCATGAGGCTTAGCAAGACTGCCACAGCCACAGATATAACTCCTAGAGGCATAATAGGATTTGTAGTATCAACCCTAGCTGGAGTGCCATGGTTGCCTACCCCTGAGATGGATGAACCATCTAAAATCTAGCTACTAGAGATTGCATTGCAGCTTTTAGAAAGGGGCTTATCTAGAGCCAATTAACATCTTGCAGCCTGCAATAACACCAGCGTTTATGCAATGCATGGTGTTAGTGCGTCGCTATTCATTTTTAATGTCACCCCACCTCACAAAAGAAATGCAGCTGTGCGATAGCAAGTTGCATAGATGTAAATGCATTCCAAAAATATATATATATAACACCGAGGGGCACATCACCACCTAAAATCTTAGAACTAGTGTTTATATAAAGACATAAAGGGGAAAAAATAATTCAAAATTCAGTTTCCAACTTTAGATTGCATAGTTAGTCAGGTTGAAAAAAGACACATATCCATCCAGTTCAAGCTATAGAGATATGAAAAAAAAAATGCAGCTGTGCGAGGGTACATCATAACTTAAAATCTTAAAACTAGTATTTATATAACGACATAAAGGGGAACAAAATTATGTAAATTTCAGTTTCCGACTTTAGATACTTTCACATATTAAACTGGTAATGTAGCATCCACACAGTTCTTCTGAAAGTGTTGCCAGATGTCGATGGGGAAGGGGGGTCAGTGGTGACAGATGTGGTAACCTCTCCCCCTTCGATAAGATCTCAGAGTGTTGTTTTTCAGCTTCCCTTAAATGGTCAAAACAGTCCATAGATGGCCACCATGACACCATCGTGCTAAAGCTTCATCACTTCCTGGCCTTCAGCTCACGCGCCATCTGACAGAGAGTGCACTGTCCGCAGAATGTGAGGCATACGCAGTCATTGCAGATACTTCCCTGTAGGAAAAAGAGAGCGATAACTCAGACATCATGGAATAATTCTTTGAAAAGATAGACCTATGAAGATTTATTAAAGAATAAAGCTGTTCCTACACTGCTCACATTTCTGCCCTGTCTGCACCATTCCGTTTGTAAAAAGTAGATTTTTCAATTGTCTTTGTGGCTGAAAATAGTCAACTGGACAGCAATTGCAGCCAATCAGCTAAAGTTACTGTTCGAGTAGTCTGACAACTGTGGGCACCAGCTGTCTGAATACAATAGCCCAACAGAGGAGATTTCACCCATCCAAGCTTTTTATGGGGA